AAAAACTGGAAATAACAAACTCCTAAGGACTGCCCTATAGACCAGGACTTCATTAAGTAACGTGCATATTATGCACGTGATCAAATAAACCTACAGATCTCATATCGTCAACTGAAACAATCTATCCTTTTAGGCTTCAACTTTGAGATGCTACTTTTACCAAAGAGGCTTCTAAGCTGGGAAACTTTGAGATCTTTGTAAAGGTGATATATTGTTTCTGGGCATGATATGTGGTTCATACATGCAAAGATGGACTATTACTGCTGCCCTGCCTGCCCATGTGACGTCTTGTATTCGTTTTCTGGGCAATATCTTACTTGTCTCTACCCAAAGGAACTCCTATACCAAAAGTGTTGTCCGTGGTTGATCTTGATAACAAACTCTCCCTCTAATCCATGATAGCCACATGTGTAGGTCAAGGACTTGGGGGGCTGCTTATTAAACACTTATTGTCTCTTACCAGGTAAGAGACGCTTACCCGTTCAGAGATGATGTTCTTTACCAGCAAGCTTACCGTGCCATCTTGCTGACCAAGAGTCTTACCCTGTAAGTGAGGGTGGTGAATCTTACCCGTCAATGCTTACCTGGAAAGAGATGGTCCAATGATGGTGTTTGCCAACTCTCTTACTAAGTTCACTTCAGATTTTCAGGAAGATATGCATACTTATATTTAGTCAACTCTTTTGATGCAAACACTTGCATAATATGGTGTGTAGAATGTCAAAGCAAACCTCTAATGGTGACAAAAGCATGAACAAATCTTGTACAAGCTTTAGAGTTGATAACTAACAAAAAAACACTATCTTTCCGTAATAACTACCAAATATGGTTTCTGTTACTTGAGTAGCCATGTTTCCATAAACCAAGGGTGACTGGGTATGTACTGTAACTCGATTTATCATTATAACACAAAGGGGTAACTTGAAAATTATAAGTTTCCTGTAACATTCTCGTTAATCTAATGTTAACATTAGCTGTCCCTCTCTCTGACCCTTAGGCAATCATATCTCTCAAATGTGGATGAAGATACATGCTCATGAATGTATGATCATGCTAATTCCTTTTTGTTAATTTGGTTTTTTGTGCACAGATGGCATTCTACTAAAAGAAATAAACCGACTTCTTCGGCCAAATGGGTATTTTGTATATTCAGCTCCTCCAGCTTATAGAAAGGACAAGGATTATCCTATTATCTGGGATAAGTTGGTGAACATTACTTCTGGAATGTGCTGGAAGCTTATTGCTAGGAAAATTCAGACAGCAATATGGATGAAGGAAGCTGATCAGGCTTGCCTTCAGCACAATGCAGAGCAGAACCTTGTAAATATATGTGATTCTGTAGATGATCATAAGCCCTCATGGAAAACACCATTGAGGAACTGTGTTGCACTAGGCACCACAGGTTCTGAAAAACTCCCTCCTATACCACATCGTCTTTCAGTGTATTCAGAAAGTCTTAACGATATCGGTATGTCTGCAGCCTCAACCTTTTTGTTGGCTTCAAGAACCTTCATTTACTTGCTTAGGAGAAATTATATGGGCACTGCATGTCAGAGCTAGTTCCTAAGTTTGCTACAGTTCTATTTTCTTTTTCTTTCCTAGACTTCCACTAGCTTATTTTTCTGAGAGTTGGTAATATATTTCTGCATCTCCTTCTATAGCTTAAAGTTTCCTTAGGATAATGACCTCAGAGGTTTTGAAAGTAATTTATTGATTCTGAACATCATGCTTTATATGCATATTGTTTGCTGAAGAAGATTCCGTCTATTGGTAAACCTGCTATTATTTTTGTGAGGGAATCATTATTTGTTATAAGCTGAAATGGCATTCTCATGCATTTTTATTGGTTACTTTTGTTGCTTTTGAATGTACAATTATTGACTGCAACACTTCTTTTTGTTTGGGGTAGATAATGAACGTCATACCACTTACTATTGTCATCCATAAATAGAAATTGTTCACATGGGTTAAAATTTTCCATTCCAGAGAGCTATGTTTACGGATAATTTAGGTTCAATCACAAAATTGTCCGTTGACTATTGCTTACGCAGCACCCCTCATCTCTCAAGTTTAAAAACTGTCCTTAGATCGAAGATTTTATCCTTTTTTGGTGGTTGTTACATTAGTCACATGTCCATATGACCATTATTAGGGGGTGATCGGTAGAACATGCTCTTTCTTAAGCAGGAAGACGAACCCTTGAATAAGGAAAATATAGGATTTCTCTTATCATGTATTGCTTCAAAACTTGAACACTAGAAGGCAATCTCCAACATATTCTCTCTTATTTGTTATGATGAAAGAGTAGAATGTTATCTCCATCATTTGGAGTCTCTATATTTTCTGGAATAGTAGAAGTTTTATTTCTGCCTCCTAGGTTCTATCAATACCTGTCGACATTCTATTTTATGCTTATTCATATAGTCTCTCTAGTCTTTTCAATGAGATCTAAAAAAAGGTTCACTATGTTGTTCATACATAGTTCTCTTGGTGTAAAAGAGAAGCTACTAATTGTGACTTGCAGGCAGTAGTGGGTTTGGTTAAACCCTCTACCCCTAACGTGTTGCAATTAGAAATTGTTGGATCATGAGAAAACCAAAATTTTGTTCTTTCACACAAACCCTTTGGATGCTTTTCCAAATATGCATATAAATGCTGGTAAAAGCAATCACTTGATTCATTATGTAATGCAAGATTTAATATAGATTATCACTATGAGTTATTGCATTTCTTACCATCATGCTTGACACTTCAAACTTAAACAATCAATGTACCTCTGAAAACGCAGAAAAAGCAACCATTGGATAGCAACTAGAGAACACCACACTTCCGATATCACACTAGATTTTACCTTTTTTGCTATTTTGGCCACTAGGAGCATCTATTTTATCATTTTCTGTGAAACTCGAGTGTTCTTTTTGCATCTTTGAAAGTATGTTGCTTAGAAACGGAGTTCCAAGTACAACGGTTCAAAATCTGATGACTCCTGGCTATATTTTAGAACGGATTCCATTGATATGAATGGGAAATGGATGAATGAAATAAATAGAAAAGTGAAAAAAGAACAATCAGTTTGATGGATTCCTATCACTTGCTATTTCATGCATAGTAAGGAAGATATCTTTCTGACCAGCTAAAGCAAAAATGGTGACTGCCTTATGAGTAAGGATGAGGGGGAGATTTGAATGGGCAAGTGCTGTATCCAAAAGTAATTTTGATTATCGGACTAATTCTCTGAATATTATTTTAAAATAAATGTTTAGTACTTGATTCAAGATTTCTCAGAAAGGAATATGCTGGAGAGGGAGAGTATGTAGTTTGTGATACAAGTCTATACTACATAAATAGCGTTCTTATGATACTAATGTTAAAAAACCCAATAATCTGATTCATATATAGAAATTTTGAGCTACTCCTGGATGAGCAAGAAAATAAAAAGCTTGGGCATCAGCCAATTTTATGAACCATGTGTTGGCTGCAGGTATCACACAAGAGAAGTTTCTTGCAGATACCCTTTATTGGCAAGATCAAGTTCGTCATTATTGGAGGCTGATGAATGTTGATGATACATCAGTTAGAAATATTATGGACATGAATGCTCTTTACGGTGGATTTGCGGTTGCCTTTAGTACTTGGCCCGTGTGGGTAATGAATGTAGTTCCCGCAACAATGAACAATACCTTGTCAGCTATTTATGAACGGGGTCTGATAGGTGCTTTTCATGACTGGTAAGTCGAATTAGCAAAACTGTACTTAATCACCTTGTTTGTTTTGAGTGAGTTATCCATGATGCTGATCTTACTCTGCTACTTATAGGTGTGAGCCATTCTCATCCTATCCACGCACGTATGATTTGCTGCATGCAAGTTATCTCTTCTCTCACTATGGAAACCATCAAGATGGTTGCTCATTGGAAGATATCATGCTAGAGATGGACCGTCTTATACGACCTCAGGTATCTTTTTCTGATTCTTATCGGACTTGTATTAAACTTTTTGCCTCATTTGACTACACTATAGACTGCAAAGTTCCCAAGTAAACTCTAGCCAGTAAAATGACAGAATTCTATAAAAATAAAGGGTGCATGCTTCCTGCATGACCGGAAAGCAATTACAAGCATGTGTAATTAAGGGAAAGGAAAATATTCATAAGAACAGAAGGAACTCGGCAAGTAGTCTGGTGAGCTTGTCCCAAATTTATGTGATGGTTAGATGTTGTAATGCTGTAAAAGCAAGAAATTGAATTGGGAGCATCATTTCTCTCTTTAAAACCTATTGAACAAGTTTATTATGGTGCTCGGCTGTTTTTTTGCCACAGGTAAAGCTGATTAAACTTGATGAATATGAAGTTGCCTTGTGATTATAAAATTTTTAAACAACGATAGATATCTGTCAATTATTTGAAATCTATATAATTCAACATATTTTGTATGCTTTCTACTGGTTCCTGACCAAATTTCTGCAGTAATCTAACATTTTTCTTGTGTTTGTAATTGTTCCGGAGGCAGAATCTTTAATGAATCAAAATGGGAGAGGATTTAATTTTTTGGCTCAAAATCTTAAGTGGAATGAATGGGGATATTGGTATTAGTGATCACTCACATGCAATAGGGCTTGCTAAAGCAGATGGAAAACTTGTGAAATTAATAGTACTTAAAATAGATGCATTATGGCTAAATCTAACCCAGTAGGGAAAAAATTTACTGCCTGACTTACCACAAGGGCCAGAAGGAAGCATGCCAATTTGCTGACCTAAGCCTCAGCTTGAATCTCATTCAACCTATAAACAGGCATGGTCTCCAAGTGACATACCTTATCGGTCTCATCCACTTGGAAATTTATAAACAGTTGCTAACGATTTGAATAATTATCGTGCGGCAGAGCATGGAATTAACAGGGTGTTGGATGACTCAGCTCCTCGTCCTTAGAATAAGAGAGGATCAATATATTTTGAGCAAAATTGCGTAGAAAGCTAACAGGTGCTGTTGTATGAGCCTGTTTAGCATTAGGTTAGCCAGGCTGCTCTATTTGTGCTGCTTCTTGTGTGTTGTACTTCAGCAGGTTGTGCTACTGATGCACTTCCTCTCACGAATTAAAAGAGTTCCATTTCATATTGGTATTTTTCCTTGAGAACCTTCGGTCTCTACAGCATCCCACCCATAATAAACCTAAAACCTTCCATCAAAAGGAGGTTACCTAATTACTTCGTACACAACCAAAGATAGTTTGGTGAAAACTCTCAAATTTATGAATTTTAAATTATAGAGTAAACTACAAATTTGGTTCATGTGGTTTGGTGGTTGTAACACTTTTAGTCCCTATAGTTTCGAAATTACAAATTTGCCATTGTGGTTTGCAAAAACGACCGGATTGGGTCCCTTTCTCTAAAGGTCGTTAAAAGAGCTCTTTAAGTGAGGGGCATCATAGTCTTTTCTTATTTCCTCTTATTTTAGAACATATAGTTAATTAGTATATTTATATTAATTATATAATATAATATTTAGTGTATATATATAGGGTTGGGTTCCGGTGAGAATGGAAGTTATGGTGAGAAAGGTAAGAAGGGATCTCCACCCTTGGATTAATCCTAATTGAAGATCAACACTAATGCGGTGCACCGAGATGCAATGGATCAATTCCCGTGATAGGCGCATGGGTGGGTGTGAGATTAAAAATGTTCAAGGGTTCAGATTCCTTCTTACACTTCTCACCTTAATATCCTATTCTCACACGATCCTTCGTGTCTCTCTCTCTCTCTCTATATATATATATATATATATATATATATGAGGTAGGTTCCTACGAGAATGGTACCTATTTAAAAAAAATGGCCAAATTACGTACAAAATCACATGTGATTTTACATTAACGGACAAAAAAGGGGGTCGGGCGACTTTGGCCGCGACCTCAGGTCGCAGGGCAAAGTCGCGTGAATCACATATGATTTTATACGTGATGTTAATGTAAAATCACATGTGATTCGACCATTTTCTTATTTTCTTATTTAGGTACCATTCTCGTATGAACTTACCTCATATATATAACAAATTACACACAATAAGAGATCAGCCAAATTGGAACATCTCCCGACTCCTTTTTACGGCGAACCACATGGCCTCCTTCCAAGATCTCTGGTGAACGAGCGCCCCTCACCCACCGCTGGTCACTATCTCTGGCTCCCCCTTCTCCGATGGACGCCTACAATTTCTTATATTTTCTTCTCGGGTGATAAATCAAGTCCTTCCCCATCAAAATCACTCAATTTCTCCATGTTTGGGTGTTGGATTTCTACAAGATCTAACAATTGGACTTCTGACGGGTTACCAAATGTTAAGTCGATCTCTTTTGGTACATTGACTTATGGTAGGATGGAATTTTGGGTATTTTGGCACAAGATTTGTTCATGTGGTTTAGGGTTAAGAACTTCATATCGATGGAGTTTTGAGTAAACAAAATCTTGACGTTTACTTATGGTTAGATACTCAGATTTTCTTTCAACAACCTATCTGTTTCAATACATCTATTAGGTTTATGTAGTCATTGGACTTCATATTTGGTTCTTCTGGATCCCTGATTTACTTTTAGTAGTTTTAAGTTTGTACTCTTCGAGCAAAGTAGGCTTAAGTCAAACTCTTCATGGTCACCCGGACAAATGTTTGAAGGGTTCAAAATCAAAATCAACATCAGATGGAATGGAGGTGGTTTCTTTACTTGAGAAGGGACTACCAATAATTTGTGAGGTAGCACACGTTTGTGGGGGAAGGTGAAATGTTTGAAGGGTTCACCGGAAGGTCTTCATTGAAGCTATTGAGTTGAGATAAACAGGGAGAGAGAGGCAGCCAGGATATGGTGGATATTGATAGCCGGAGTTCACCAGTTCTCCATTTGGTAGGTTAAGGCTTCGATTGGTGGTGATGTAGAGGTTTAAGGTGTCGATTTCTCTACTAATTTCTTCATGTGGGGAAAGTTACATCGATCTCATACCGATAGATTCAAAGTTTTGGATTTGGGTTTTCATTTTGTGGAAAGTTTCATCGATCTCATACTGACAGATCAAAAGCTTGTATTTTGGTTTTCATTTGGGGAAAATTTCATCAATTTCTTCATTGTGATTTGGTTTTTGTTTTAACTTCAGTTTGGATTTTGATTTTGGATTTTAGGTTTAGCTTTAGATTTTGGTTTAAAGGCTTGGATTTGGGTTTTAAGAGATGACCAGAGGTTCAGTGGAGAAAATGATCAGAGGTTCGCCGAAGAAGATGACCGGAGGTTCGTGGGAGAAGATGGCCGGAGGTTCGCGGGAGAAGATGCCCTGAGGTTTGCCGGAGAAGATGACCGGAGGTTTCACCGGCGGGAAGGGGTTCATGGTTCCCAAAAAAATTAAGCCACGTGTCATGAATCTAGTGGATCAATTTATAAAATATTTTGTACTTCTAATAAAAAATGAGACAACAACCAGAGAAGACTAAAATGCCGTCAAGTTAATGGCTAGTCTTAACGGCCGTTGGAGGGAGGGACCAAATGGACAAAATTTGTAGTTTACTCTAAGTTTCTAAACTGCAGGGACGAAAAGTATTACTTTCAAAAACCACATGGATCAAATTTGTAGCTTACTCTAAATTATATTACTATCAAGAGCCTTGGATACTGTATCACTATCACTGAGCATAGATGATCAAAATTCTCAATCTACTTGGGGAACATGAATGTGATGCAATTCAATTGGACTCAAACAGCGCGTTTCCAACTCTGTTATTGAATTTCACTCCAACACACTTCGAGAGGTTGGTTTTCCCTACAACAGATCACAAGTCACATATTCCCTCTTATCACTCGACTTCTTTTTTATACTCCTACAAGACACCTTTGACTGCTATCGCTTAGTTACAACAAATAACAAACTAAATCCACTCCTCTTTTATAAAAGACTCTTCTACCCTTTACTAGCTTTCCTCCTGGAATAAGTGATATGAAATCTTTTCACATCAGTACCTCCCTTCCAAACCTTCACCTTGTCCTCAAGGTGAAAAGCGAAAGTGTTGTTAATATTGTTGTATTCCTCCCATGGTGCCTCTGACACAAGAAGACCATGCCATTTTATCAAGATCTCCAATTCCCCATTCTCTGTTGACGACAGTTCAACAATGATTCTGATTGCAGTACTAGCACCCCATCCTCTGTCAGATGGCCGGGAAGATCTCCTGGATAATGCTTGACCCCTTGCCTCTCTTACCTGAGATACATTGAACACCGGATGAACCAGAGATGATGAAGAAAGCTAGAACTTGTAAGTCACCTTCCCAACTTTGCTCACTATTGTGAATAGCCCATAAAATCTAGCTGCTAGTTTTTGATTTATACGGGTGCACATGAATTTTTGTCGGCATGGTTGTAACTTCAAGAAAACTGAATCTCTGACCACAAATTCTCGATCTGTGTGATGCTTATTTGCCCGATCTTTCATTCGTTGTTGTGCTTTCATTCGTTGTACCTGTAATTCGTCCAAGAAAGAATCTCTTTCTCGCGACATATCCTCCAATGATTGTACTTCAGCAGCCCCCTCCTAGTACTTCCAGATTGCTGATGGGTCTCTACCGTACAAGACCTTAAATGGTGAATATTATAGTGACCCGTTGTATGTTGTATTATACCACTTCTTCCATTTCTGTGGGTGGTTAACAATAAAACACCTTAGATACTGCTTTGACATCCTGTTTACGATTTCTGATTGACCATCTGTTTGCGGGTGGTAGGCTGTTGAAAATGCCAACTTTGTACCTTGAAGCTTAAAAACTTCCTTCCAAACTCAAGTAAGAAACACCTTATCACGGTCGGATATAATCAGTTGTGGGATACCATGCTACTTAACTACTTTGATGAATACACTCGCAACTGTTGGTGCATCGAATGGGTGTTTCAACGGTGCAAAGTGGGCATATTTACTCAATCTGTCCACAAA